AGTGCGGTCATTTTGCTTGGCACGGTAAGTGTGCCATATTGCTCATGTGCCTTCTGACACACGGCTTTGACTGACTGACTGACAGCCAAAGACGGACCGCTGGGAGGGATGCGGTCGTCACCCTGGTCCGTGCACGAGCGCATCGAGCGTCAGCCCTGCCGGCGGAGGCCGATCTGTGGAGTGGAGCTCGGACCTCCGTCCAGAGAGGGCCGGCGCTGTCGCGCCGTTCTGTTGCTGTGCAGTCCTCGAGCCAGAGGCCTGTCCAGGCTGGTTGCACATGATGATGCAGCCCTTGCACGACTGTCGTCCCAGTGTCCTGAGTGCTCAGATTCGCCCAGACCCTGTGTCGAGGTCCCCACGGCTGGAGAAGCGATCGTGGTGGCACGCGGCAGAAGCAAAGCAGCAACTGGGCCTTCTGCACCGCATGCGGGAAGTACCGTAGCGGGAAGCATCATGCGTTAGAATGTACGAGTCTCACGCGCAAAAGCCCAAAAGCTCCCACCAACCATTTGGGCGAATATGGTCTAGCGAGTTCGGTCTTTCCCTCTTCCCTCTGGGGAGGGATATCTATCCCCTCCCATCCCTCCCCTCCCTGCGGATTTGTTATTTTATGTTGTGTGTGTGTGTTGTGTGTTGTGTGTTGTGTGTTGTGTGTGTTGTGTGTGCGTGTGTGCGTGTGTGCGTGTGTGTGTGCGTGTGTGCGTGTGTGCGTGTGTGTGCGTGTGTGTGTGTGCGTGTGTGTGTGTGTGTGTGTGCGTGTGTGTGCGTGTGTGTGTGTGTGTGTGTGTGTGGGTGGGTGGGGTTCGAGATGTGCCAAGGTGTTTTGCCTAGATGGCTCCAAGAGGGCCCCTATGCTCCAAGATGGCCTCCAAGGCGGCTCAAAGTAGACGAAGGTGGGTCAAGGTAGCTTCTGACATGCCTTCAATAGGCCCGACGACGGCCACAAGACGGCTCCATGTGCTCTCGGAGCCCCCTCAAGACCACCGAAGAGCCCAACATCCTTCAATGGTTTGTGCTCTCAACCCACGAGAAAGCGTGATCCACCGCTGCTTTACCGTGTAAAATTCTCCCCCCTCTTCCCTCGGAACCCGGGGGTCCTCACCCCCTCCGAAAATCCCCCCCCCCCGGTGGACCCCCCCCCTCCCCCCCGGCAAACCCCCCCCCCCCCCCTAGCCCCCCCCCCCTCTGGAAAACCGGGGGGGTCACTACTGGCTCGAACCCATCCCCCCCCACCCCTCCGGAAAACCGGGGAAGGGTCACTACCGGTTCGAACTTATCCCCCCCCCACCCCAGAAAACCAAAGACGGGTCACTACCGCTTCGAACCCCCCCCTCCAAAACCAGGCGGGGGGTGGGGCACTACTGGTTCGAACCCCCCTCCCCCCCCCCCCCCTCGAAAACCGGGGGGGGTCACTACCGGTTCGAAAACCCCTCCCCCCCCCTCGAAAACCGGGGGGGGTCACTACCGGTTCGAACCCCCCCCCTCTCGAAAACCAGAGGGGGGCACTACCAATTCGAACACCCCCCCCCTCTCGAAAACCTGGAGGGGGTCACTGCCGGTTCGAACCCCACCCCCCTCTCGAAAATCGGGAAGGGTCACTGCCGGTTCGAACCCCTGCCCCCCCCCGCGAAAACCGGGGGGGGTCACTACCGGTTCGAACCCCCCCCCCTCGAAAACGGGTGGGGGGACCCTCCACTGTCCCACTGTTTCCACCACATCCCCAGTCCCCACACCACTGTCCCCACCACCACTGTCCCCACCACTTTCCCGCTATCCCCACTGTTCCCACCATTGTCCCCGCTGTCCCCACCAATGCCCCCCACCAGTGTCTCACTGTCCCCACTCTCCCCACCATTGTTCCACCACGGTCCCACTCTCCCCACTTTCCCGACGGTCCCCACCACTATCCCACTGTCCCCACTGTTCCCACCACTGTCCCACTGTCCCCGCCGCTGTCCCACTGTGCAGTCCCACCGTCCCCAGTCCCCATCACTGTCCCACTGTCCCCACTGTCCTCACCACTCTCCCCACTGTACTACTGTCCCACCACTGTCCTCACCACCGCCTTCCACCACTGTCCCCACCACGACCATCCCCACTGTCCCACTGTCCCCTCACCACTGTCCCCACCACCACCGTCCCCACCACTGTCCGCACCACTGTCCCACTGTCCCCGCACCACTGTCCCCACCACCACCGTTCCCACCACTGTCCCAACATCCCCACCATTCTCCAACTGTCCCGAAGAGCGGGCATCGTTTCGTTTGCCGGCAGCGAGGGGGGGGGGGGGGGGTTCGAACCGGTAGTGAACCCCTCCTGGTTTTCGAGGGGGGGGGGGTTCGAACCGGTAGTGCCCCCCTCTGGTTTTCGAGGGGGGTGGGTTCGAACTGGTAGTGAACCCCCCCCTTTTCATAATGGACGGGGGGGGGGGGGCGAACTGGTAATGACCACCCCCGGTTTTGGGGGGGGACGGGTTAGGCTCCCCCAGTGACGCCCCCGGTTTTCCGCCAGCAGCGGTAGAACACGCTCTTTCCAACCCAAGGAACACCAATGGTTTGTGTTCTCGCCTTTTCGCTTCCAATGCGTTTTTGAGGCCTGCAGATGGCCTCAGGATGGCCCAAAAGACCCCAAGATGGGCCCTAGACAGCCCCAAGAGCGCCCAAGATCCCCAAGAGCGCCCGAAGACGGCCCCAAGGGACGATTTCGAGGGACCCAAAAAGGAGGGAAGGAAGAGGGAGGGGGGGGGGGGGCGGCAAAACGTTAGGACCCCTCTCTTCTCACCGACCCCCTCCACGATAGCCCCAAGAGGCCCTCCATGAATCCCAGGAGGCCCCCAAGATGGTCCCAAGAGACCCACCCCCCAGAAGAGTCCCAAGAGGACTCAAAGCTCCCTCCATTCCCCAAAAAAGCCCCAAGAGGGCTGCAAGAGGCGAACTTGAAGGCTCCGATCTCGCCTCGTTGTCCGCATCCTCCTCCTCCTCCTCCTCCTCCTCCTCCTCGTCTCGTCCTTGCCCTCATCGTGTTTCAGTTCCTTTCGCTCATCTGCCACGTAGTCGCCGACGTCGTCGTCGTCGTCGTGGTTGTGGTCGTCGTCGTGGTTGTGGTTGTGGTCGTGGAAGTGGTCGTGGTTGTGGTGGTTGTGATGGTGGTCGTCATCGTCTTCCTCCTCCTCCTCCTCGTCTCGTCCTTGCCCTCTTCGTCTCCCGTGTCCATTTTCTCCTCTTCCTCGTCGTCGTCATTGTGGTCGTGGTCGTAGTCGTGGTCGTGATCGTGGTCGTAAACTCGGGTCGGGCGAAAGGGGAGGATAGATAGCAAAGGGGGGGTTTGAGAATCAGCTCACGTAGCTGGTTTTCCCGGCGCCTCCCGGCGCCAGAGGCGGCTATGTATCGAGGAATGGGCCCCTCGGTGAGGCCGAAACCAGCTGTAAGCAGCAGATTTCGTACCCCCCCCTTTCCCAATCCCCCCCTTTCGCCCGGCCCGATGAACGTGGTAGTCGTCGTGGTCGTGGTCGCGGTCGTGGTCGTCCTCGTCGTCCTCCTCCTCCTCCTCCTCCTCCGCCTCCTCCGCCTCCTCCGCCTCCTCCTCCTCCTCCTCCTGCTCCTCCTGCTTCTCCTGCATATTCCCTCGTTCCCACGCGGCCCCAAAGACGGCCCGAAACGGCCCTTTTGTCGCTCCTGGTGGATGGGTCGGGACTTCCAGGGACCCCGCCCGGAACAAATCCACACACTGGATCGCAGGGGGCTCCTCTGGCCGCCATTGGGGCCATTGGGTGCGCAGAAAACAGCACCTGCCACGCCCGGCCAGGGCCATCCTGGGCCTGAGCAAGGTGCGCACGCCCTCTTCGTCATGGCAGGAGTGCCATGAGTCGGAGGCGACGATCATTGGCGGCGCGCGCAAGGGGTTGGAGGGACGGGGGGAGGTTTCTTAGAAGGAGGCTGCTTCCTAGAGGGTGTCAGCCCTGCATCTACAGACAAGGACCACGCCTTTTAAGAAGCAGGGGTATTCCCAAGAAAGCCTCCCCCCTCTCCCTTCTGCGCGTGGGCGGAAGGCGAATGGCCCAGAGGCAGGCGTTACACGCATCCCTCCGGGAGCCTAGCCGACGACATGGACCATCGGCGCAACAAGATACATGTCTTGCCCTCCCTTGGGTGATTTCCCCTGTCGTCGCGTTCGGCACGATGGCCTTTTTCATCATCCTGGGGCCCAGGATGGCCCTGGCCAGGGATGGTGGTGGTGTGCCCAGAGAGCCAGCGTCGCGAACAAAGACAGCAACACCGTGAGCAATGACGGCCTGGAGCCGCAAACCATGATTTTCTGAGGCATCCATCGAAACGGATCGGCCAGTGAAAGCGCATGGGGCCCGACCGAAGCCAACCGAAAACGCCCGGCGCGAACAACAATGCAACGCCCGGGTCTCAAGGTATGCATGGCCGGGGTCGCGCCTCGCTTTTCCCGTTTGTTTGTTTGGCGGCGCGCGCAAGGGGGTATGGGGGGAGGGGGGAGGCCGTTCCTTAGAAAATGTCAGCCTTACATTAAGACCCTTGCCTTCTAAGAAACAGGGGCGTTTGTAAGAAGCCTCCCCCCCCAATACCACCCTCTGCGCGTGGCCGATTTGTGATAGGAGGAGAAACATCTGCGCATCTTCTGGAAGCCCACGCGGCGCCGCCAGGGGGTGCAACGCCGATCCCAGAAACCCGCGCGGGCCTCCGACCTTTTTGGATATGGTTATGCAACGTTCTGTTTCGCTCGAGGAACAACGCGCAAACATAAATGGCTGCGTTTTTGGATCTGCGCTGGAGCCCACCCCCTGGCGCGCGGAGAGCGCCAAAGCCGGCGCCGGCGGCGCCGCCAGGGAGGTCCAGCGCAGATGGAACACTTTTGTTCGGAACTCGGAGAATGATGTGAATTTCAGAAGCCCGCGCGGAGCGTCGAACATTGATGTTTGCGCAAACGTTTCTTCTTCTGCTCTCCTTCGATGAAGAACCAAGCCGCCGCGGGGCCTCCTCGAGCCCCAGCTGGCCCTCCAGGATCGCCCCGCGGTCCGAGACGCCGTGGCGCAGCAAACGGTCGGCGGCCTCGCACCTTCTGCGGGCGGCCGCTGGGCCATCCCCGGGCCGGAGGACGCTGCTCCCAGACCCCCGCGCGTCGTGGAAATATCGCGACGGAAGGATCCCTGAATTCAGCCTGGAGCGATGGGGGCCATGCCAATGGGGGGGCGGCGGGAGGTGCATTAGTCCGCTTGCGCATATTGTTTTCCGTCTTCGCACGAAAGTGAAATATCTCCACGCGGGGCCCTGGCGCACGCGCGCGGGAAAACCTATGGATGTCCTAGGGATTCCCATGCATGCCATGAGGAATCGTAGGGGCTTCCTGAGGGATCCGGTGGATTTCCTGAGGAAGCCGATGGATTCCAGAACAAAGCATGGGGATACGCTTAGGCATATCATGGATTTCCTCCGGCATCTACACGGATTTCCGGAGGAATCCTATAGATGTCATAAGACACCTTATGGATGTCCGAAACAAAAAACATTAAATCGGATGGATTCCGCAAGGGATCCTGCGCAGTTCTCCAGAATCCGATGGATTTCCTGAGGGGTCCGATGGATGTCCGAAAGAATCCGGTGGATGTCCTACAGATTCGTGTGGATTCCACGCGGGATCCTCGAGATTTCCGACGGGATCCTATGGACTCCGCGAGGGATCCCATTGATTTCCCACGGTGTCCCGATGGATTTTGTAAGAAATCCGGTGGCTGTCCTAAAGGTTCCTCTGGATTTCCTGAAAAAACCTGAACGTGTCCTAAGAACTCTGGTGGATTTCCTTACGAAATCCATGGGGTTCCTTCGGAAATCGATCGGGCACTTGGGTAGGAATCCTCAAGACACCCAAAGAATTTCTTCGGAAATCCATCGGCCCCCTGAAGGAATCCAGAAAGATTCCCGAGGACATACGCAGGACACCTCAAGAAATCAAGACACCTCAAGAAATCAAAACAATGTCTTAGGACATCCATCATATGTTTGAGGACATCCATCGGCCTCTCTTGAAAATCTTCTAATTCCAAAAGGAACTGCGCTAGATTCCTCAGCAATTCCAATGGATTCCTTTCGGAAATCCATCGGGTTCCGTAAGGCATCCATAAGATTCCTCCGGAAATACATAGGTTTCCAGAGGACAGCGATGGGATTTCTCTGGGAATCCATATGGGTCCTTCGGAATTCCACATATTTAGCTAGGCAACGCTGGGGGCTTCTTAGGACACCCATCGGGATTCTTCAAGACCTCCGTCGGATTTCTACGGCAATCCATCGAGTGTCTTAGGCAATCCATAGGATCCCTTAGCACATCTAAAAGAATTCTTAGGACACCCATTGCATTTCTTAAGGAATCCATCGGTTTCCCTCAGGGCATCCATAGGATGTCTTAGTACAGGCGCAGGATTCCTTTGGAAATCCAATAGTATCCTTAGGGCATCCATAGGACCCGAATTCCTTAGGACATCCATCGGGGTTATAAAGAAAATCATCATATTCTGGAAAAATGTGCCGGATTCCGGAGGAAATCTATTGAAATCCTTACGAATCATGGCTATTCAACATGAGAAGATAACAACTTCGAATCGCAACTTACCACCGCGATAACCAAATTCGGCCTTGCCGCCCCTCTTCCCCGACCTAATATGCGTCGGCCGGGGATCATCAACTCTTGGGGGTTAAAGGGGGAGGGGGGGTGAATGATGATCAGAGGGGTACGGTTAAACGGGGATGCCGTTAGACCGAAGTGTTCCACCATGCAAGAGGAGATGGGGGGGGGGGGGGGGGGGGGCACGGCCGAAAAAGGGGCAGACGGAGCGGACGGCTCAGGGGAGGCGGGTCGTTCCCTGAGACGTCGCAGACAAACGCGCAGCAGCGTGCGCGATCATTACCAGAGCTCTAAGCCCCAACTCTATATATGCGGCTTCATCGAACTGGTTTGGTACGCGAGCGCCCAATGGGCCCAAAGCTGCCCGAAAGAGCCCGCTGCGAACAAATTGCAACGCTCAGCCGATGTACTGATATTTTCGGTGCGGGGCCCCTGGTAGCCAAGATCCTTCCCCCGCGGTCATGCTTTTCACCCCGAACACATGTTTGAAGAGTCCCCGGCCAGGCCAGGGCCCCCAGAGGCCGAACGCTGCGGAAAGCCTCGGCGCTGTTAATTACAGTGCCTAAAGACGTCGGAGGTCGGGGGCCCCCTCAACACATACTCGCACCGTGGATTCTCGCTCTCTCACGGAAACTCACTATAACGTGCTACTGCTTCCTCCTCCCTTCTCTCCATTGCTCCTTTGCAACTTCTGCGTGGACGGATTCATTCTCAACTCATTCGTAACACCGCCTCCAAGAGGAACCCCATGACACATGAACATTGCCGTTGCAGAAGAATGTTCGCGTTGGTGTCTGACTCGGAAATGAGCAGATCTAAAAAAGCTTCAAAACTCCCCGCGGATTTTGGAACTTGGGTCGGCGCTGGGCCTCATCGGCGGCGACTTCGGCGCCGCTCCTGGCGCGAGTAACTCGCGCGGAACTCCAACAAACTATGGTCATTTCGATTATTTTTCTGACGGGGGCAGAGAGAGCCACCACCACCACCAGAACTCCAGGGTCTTCCTTTTTCCAAAAGCTCCCCCCCCGGCGCCAGTGGCACCACATTCTGGACACGGAGCATCCGACGCACCTCCCTGGCACCAGGGATCCACGCCCGCAGGAGCCTACATGACGCTCACGATACCACTTCAGTGCTACTTAGTCATACCAAGAGATTGCACCAGCGAAGACACCATATAATATCCATCTGCATTCGCAAAGCATTTCACGAAACGAAAGCCCGAGCAGCACCCAAGAGGCTTCGGAACCCACAACCCAGGCACGAAGGCCACTACATCTCGGGCAATGTGTCATGAAGCAACATGACGCCGCACGGCATGCCTGAGCTTACGCCCAAACAGAACATGACGCCCACGACAAACAACAATCCGGATGCCTGCATGCATCGTGAGAACCACGACCCCCGATCTGGGACCTACAAGTCGTGCTGTACCCACATGCACCTTCAACCGTCCAACGCCCGCTTGAGCCGCATGAGTCCCTGATTGGCTCCATTTTGGCAGCGTTCGGGCCGTTTTGGGTTGATCTTGGGCAGTGTTCGGGCTATGTGTGGCCTCCTTGTGTGGATGGTAGACAAGAGTCCAGAGTGCCAAACGGCAAATCTACTATCGATCAGCCACGCGGCATGCCTGAGCCTAACTCACTATGGGTTGGGAACAACAATGGAGCGCAGGCAAAACAAAACACACCCGCGGGGGGTTCTGCATAATTTTTTCCTGCATATGTTCATCCCGTGGTGGAGCCGTCTTTGCGTCGTCTGGCGAGAACTCGAGCGGGCGGGCGGTGAACGCGAAACGTCTTGAGGCTTGGACTGCGGAAGAGAACGGAGGGCCCCCTCTGCGGGATCAGACGGCTTCGCTCTGCCCCGCGGCCTCTGCTGCAGTGAGGGCGCCGGCGGAGGCCCCCGCCAGGAGGCGATGGTGCCGCAGCTGCGCTGCGCCGACAACGCGCTCGCCCGGGCCGGGGCGCGCAGCCGGCGGCTGGGTTCGGGCGTTGCTCACTGGGGGGCGAATCTTTCTCTCCACGAAAACAACCAGGAACAAATCATATAGAGACATGTGCTGCACTTTTAGGGGGGCTGTCCCATAGGCGCGATACACGGACAAGCGAGCACAACGAGATACGTGCATTGCAAGTCGCAGCAAAAGGTCGCATCGCGATGAATAGGGGGCGATACATGGGGGGAAAGGGGAGAAACGTGCACCGTTCGTGCCCCGTCGGGGCCTAAAAACGACATCTTCCTTTGCCCCCCCCCTTCTCGCCTTCCATTGCGCAAAGCCCGACGGGTGCGAAAAACTCCGTTCCCGGGACGGGTTTTGATCTGGGTCGGTTCTTCGACAGCCCTGGGGCCCGAAGCAATCCCCCAAAAGCCGGAGACGCTCCGAAACCTGCGGCCGTGCTCTTGTTCACGATGCGAAGGGGTCAATTGGCGCCAATCGGATGCGTCAAATAAGGTGGCCAGGAAGAGGGAGAGGGGGTGCGCAGCATGGCCCGAGGCATGTGCGTGGATGATTGGAGTGCCAGGGGGCGTTCTGAAAAACGAGAAGAGGAGGCCCTGAAATCTGGAAGCCTCATGGCCATGCGGTGATACAGTCAAACCGTAGGATAAGGACGCACTACTAGGATGCAAGGGTCTTGGAAGGCCATGTCGACACTTTGCGAGCGGGGCGCGGCCAGCGAAAGCGGCCAAGAGTAGACCGAAGGGGAAGGATGCGAGGGCAACCTTGGAAAATTGCTCATCATTGCTATGCGGGTTGACTGCACTGACGACAGAGGCACCCGACGACAAGGCGAGAAGCTAATTCACGACAACTACACAACGAATTTGGGAGGCGCAAACCTCTCGCTTTCGCTCACCTCCCACTTTCGCTCGCCTCCCGTTTCCGCTCGCCTCCCATTTTTGCTCGCCTCCTGCATTCGCCCGCCTCCGCTTTCGCTCGCCTGCAACTTCCGTTCGCCTCCCGCTTTCGCTCGCCTCCCGCGTTCACTCGCCTGCCGGTTTCGCTCGCCTCCCGCTCTCGTTCGCCTCCCGCTTTCGCTCGGCTCCCGCTTTCGCTAACTTCCCGCTTTCTCTCGCCTCCCGCTTTCGCTCGCCTCCCGCTTTGGCTCGCATCCCGCTTTCGCTTGTCTCCACTTTCGTGTTCGCCTCCCGCTTTCATGTTCGCCCCCCGCTGTCCCGCTCGCATCCCGCTTTTCCATTCGCCTTCCGCTTTCCCTGTTTCATCCCGCTGTCCCGTTCGCCTCCTGCTTTCCCGTTCGCCCCCCACTTGCCCGTTCGCCTCCCACTTTCGTTCGACACCCACTTTCGTGTTCGCCTCCAACTTTCGTGCTCGCCTCCCACTTTCGTTCGCCTTTCGTCTCCCACTTTCGTTCGCCTCCCACCTTTGCGTTGGCCTTCGCCTCCCGCTTTCCCGTTCGCATCCCACTTTCGTGTTCGCCTTCGCCTCCCACTTTTCCGTCCGTCTCCTACTTTCGCCTTCCTTGTCGTGAATTAGCCTCGTCTTGTTGTGAGTTAGCATCTCCTTGTCGTGTACTAAGTCTTTCCTTGCCGTGAATAAGTGTTTCCCTGTCGTGAATGAGTCATGAGTCATCCCCTGTCGTGAATCAAACTCTCTAATCGCATATTATCTCGCAAGATGAACCAAAATGCTCCTCGCCGAGAGATGCGCAAGTCCGACCCATCTTGGACGCCCCGGGGCAGACAGGTCTGGGCACGAGGGCCGCACGACCGGTGAGCCGTCGGCGGCGCAGAGCCGGCCCGCGGCCCTCGTCAGCAGCACGCTCGCCTCGCCCCGGGAAGGCGCACCGATCGCCTCGCTCTCTCGAGACGCGACGTGGCCCCCGACGCTCCCGGGAGGGGACCGAACCCCCTGAATCCCCTTCACCGTCCCTGCCGCCAGCTGCTCATCCATCCTTCCCAAACCCTCCACTCCTCCTCTTCCTCCTTCTCGTCCTCCTCCTCCTCCTCCCTCGCTCCTCCTCCTGTTCCTCCTGATCCTCCTCCTGCTTCTCCTGTTCCAACTCCTCCTGTTCTTCCTCATGTTTCTCTTCCTGTTCAGATTCCCCGTGCTCCTCTGTTCCTCCTCCTCCTCTTTCATCAATTCTCGTCCTCTTGCGTCCATCCTCTCATTGACTCTTCTATCATCCCTCCTGCCTTCTCCCTCGCTCCTCTTCCTCATTCCTCATTCCTCATTCCTCCAACTCCTCCTCCTCCTCCTTTTGCTCATCCTCCCTCACCCCTCCTCCCTCACTCCTCCTCCCTCACTCCTCCTGCCTGATTCCTCCCGCTCCCTCCACCTCCTACCCGCCTTGGTCATCCTTCCCGCACGTGCGGCCAACTCTCCGCACATGTTTTGGTTTAGCCGGACATGTTTGAGCCGCGTCATGCGCCGTCACGGGGCGCTCGGGGGACGTCGAGGCGGCCGCGCGGTTGCGTGTCGAGTCGAGGCACTTTCTCCGAGACGGGGTGTCTGGCTTCCGCTTGACATGCTGATCATTATGGGACCGTGCGCGGTCGTACTTGGGGCCGTGGGGCTTTGGCATTGTGGGGCCGTTGTCTTCGACGGCGACGCAATGCAACCTTAGATCACCCAAAAGGCATGATTTTCACACATGCATCCCGGTCACTGTGGAGTCTGGGCAATGCGGCGTGCGATTGGGGACACCTGTTCGTCATCGACGGGTCTAACTGAGGTGTCAGTGTACGTGTACGTGGCATACCTTTTCGGACGTTGGTCATTCTCGACTGTACTATCTGTTCTTACTTGTGTAAGGACTGATATGTTTTCGATTAGAGATTAGCTTGTAGAATCCATTTCCCGGGGGAAATGCGTCCATCAGCTTGCTCCATATTGTTGGACCACTGCCCTGGCTTGACACAGGCTGTGGGATATGGTGCGCTTTCGGGGTATCAACGTACGCGCATGCGTACTTCATGTATTCAATGTTGTTCGCTGGGCTGGGCAATACAGAGTCCTGCGGTGCCGCGCCCATTCTGTCGTCGACGCGTCTGACACTGATGGTGCTTAATGGTTCTCATCCGTAATTGTCTTGTGTTTTTGCTGCACTGTCGTTTTTGATGCTGATGCTTTCATCAGATCACCTTGATTGACGCCCGCTCTAAAGAAGGGGAGGGAACCGTGAGGACATAGCCCCTGCACTGAACGCCTCCACTTGGGCACGCGCGTTCCCGCATTTTTCTGCAAACGACGGTCACCATCCACTCCACCCATCTGCTATACTCAGTGGACCGTCGCCTAAGCGTGTCCCGGCTTAGCACACCGCGACGGTGTCGCCACCACGCCGCAGACGAAGACAATCTGCAGCTTTGCAGAGGCGGTGCCATTTGGACAGCGCGGCGGCCTGCCTGGACAGGCGGTGCATATCTGCGGCACCCCTTTTTCTCTGCAAGCTTCTCGGTGTTCACCATCCATGCGCCGGCGTCGCTCCGCTAGAAGGCCGCGGCTCTTCCGGAGGTCAGGGGTGGCGTCCATCGTGCCCGACCCAGATCTAAAGGGCGGCCCCAAAACACAGAGCCCCTCTTGAATCCAAAGTGGTCCTTACTTCAGCGTCTTGACTGTACCAGATCGCCGCGCGATAGCTGTACTCCTTGTAATCCCCCTCCTTCCCCCTCCAGAGCTCGGAGCATGGCGAGTTGGGACGACGGAAGCTCAAAATCCGTCCCCAGGCCCCTCCTGGTGTTTAGCCGCACAAGTTCCCCGAGCTGCGTCAAGTCATGGTGACGAGCCCCCCCCCCCAGCCCCAAAAGCCAACCAACGCCCTCATCTGAAGACCCCCCCGACAACCTCCCAACCACCACCGGATACGACCGAACACCAACAAGGACCGTCGAACACCTCTTACAGCCTCCAGAAACCTCTCTCCCTCCTCGCCCCCCTGCCTCGGTTTGCAGCTCGCACACGGTGGTGACGCGAGGGGGGCGGACTTCTACGAAGACAAGAGGCGTCTCTCAGGAGGGCGCGGAAGCTTCCAAGATGGCGTTTCCAAACACGGAAGACTTGCAAGACCCCCCCCCCCCTTTCCTGAATGCGATCGGGCTGCTGAAATACGGAACGCTAAAACAACTGGTATTGGCCCCCAAAGCGCCGGCGTGGACGAGGAACGCTAGAGAACCAACCATAGGAAGACCTGAGAAATCGCACCCTTGCCGTCTCCTTGCCTGCTCGAGTGAGATCCTGAGAAATAGCACGCGCCCTGCCTTCCTGAATGATCCATGCCTTCTTGAGTGAGGACCCGAGGAATGCCCCCCCTCCCCTCCCCCCGCAGCGCCTTTGTTCTATAGCCCCCCGTGCATTCTTGAGTAAGGACCTGAGGAATACCCCCCCCTCCTGCCCTATCGAATAGCCCTCTGCCTTCTTGAGTGCAATAACGGCCTGTGGAATAGTCCCCACCGTGCCTTCTTGAATAACACCCATTCCTTCTTGAATGAGACCTGAGGAATCGCCCGCTACCCTGCCTTCATGAATCGGCTCAATGCCCTCTTCAGTAAGAACCTGCGGAGTAGCCTCCTCTGCCTACTCGAATAGTCCCTTGCCTTCTTGAGTGATGGCCTGAGGAATAGTTCCCCCTTGACTTCTTGAGTGAGGACCCGATGACTGGCATCCCCTGCCTTCTTGAGTATCCCCCTGTCTTCTCGAGTGAGGACCTGAGGAATAACCCCCCTAGGCTTCTTGAGTAGCCCCCCGTCCGCTCGAGTAAAGACCTGAAGCATAGCCCACCCCCTGCCTTCTTGAATCGGGTAAGGGCATGAAGAGGTAGATCCCCTCTGTTTTTTTTGACAGCTTCATGCCATCCTGTGTAAGGACCTGGGGGATAGCCCTCCCATCAACCTTCTTGAATATCCCTATGTCTTCTTGAATACGAACCGGAGGAATAGCCTCCCCCCTCCCCCCCTGCCGTCTTGAGTAATGACCTGGGGACTCGCCGCCCCCCCCGCGCCTTCTTGAATAGCCCCCTGTCT